TATTTAAGAGGGGGAAGCTAATATGCCGTAGCTGCAAATTTTAGAAACTGAGCACTTCCTCCCTATGGAAAAACTGCTACGAGCTGGTGCCCTGCCAGGAGCAGCAGGAACACCATGAGCCGGGATGGAGACGTGCCCAGCAATGCCGGGGATTTAAATCGTGGGGCCAGCTTTTCTGTGAGCGGTTAGTGGGTAATTCTGGGCGCTGGACGCAGCTCGCATCAAAGGCTGCTGGAGCTGTAAGATGTTACTGCTATTCCCGAGGCATTTGGAGTCAATGTTACTGCTATTCCCGAGGCATTTGGAGTCACCCGGCTGCCAAGAGAAGCGCGAGCGGGGCCAGAGCTTGGCCCAATGAAGAGCTGGGGCGAGAGGATCCACAACGTCCTCCCCACCTGTCTCATCCCCTGGTAGCTCCTTGTATCTCAGGCAGGTTCAGGGCAAAAGGTGAAGTAGGACTGAAAAATCAGCATTTAAAGGAAGTCTGGGAATATTGTGCTCTGTGGGTACCTTGCGTTACTCTAGCAGTGGTTGGTGCATGTGAAACCACTGCAGCTGCGGGTCAGCAGCGCCTGAAACTGAAAGAAATAAGCTCAAAATAGAGGAGGGAGACCAAAACATCACCTGAAAGATGATGGTAGTTCTCAGCTAACTGTTTGGCTTGCTTTCCTCCAGGAAATCTAATTTGCTTGTCCAGGAGATGAATGTTACCTCCTGCATCTCTGGGAGAGCATTTGTACGTGGCGTGTCCGCGGTGCTTGATTTTGGCAGCTCTGCTGGGTAAAATGGGGCCCGTCCGTCCTGGAGGAGAGCCAGGCTCTACGCACCCAGGGCTCCGAAAATGTGCAGTGGACAAGTGCGTGTCCCCGAGAGCGTCGAAAACACCAGAGACTTCTGGTTTGTAATTTATAGCCTGGTAAAGTGATCTCATGTATGAGACTATTAATACCAATAACATGTATACGAATATGAATTTGGAGAGAAATGCGACCCGGTTGATAGACAAAAGTGTGAGCAGCGATGGAGCGCGACCCCACAGAGGCCAGTGCGTCAGTCCTAACTGTTACACGTGTCTTTAAAGGATTTTGTGATTTGGAAGATCTTTTGAACTTGTCGTGTTTGGCTGTTATCCCAACCAGTGTCTTCCTCTTTCTTGCCCCATGATGGGTAAAATATATTATAAAAATATATATAAGTGTTATTTAAAAAGTGATGCAAATCTTATGCCTGATGCTTTCTGATGAAAGACTGGTAGGATCTTCTGAAGCAGGTTGGCATTATTCAGTACCTGGTTTTGAATGCAGGTTTATGAAATACCTTCATGATGGCACCTTTAAAAATCTTGGCTAATATAATTAGTATTATGTAATATTCATCTCCAAAAGCAATTCCCGCATTTTGAGGCCTGTGGCAGGCAGGGAATCATCCCTACTCGTGTTAACTCAGCCTCCTTTCTCTATAAAACTACTTTGTGGTGCTCAACCCTGTGCTCATTTCTATTCTCATAAGTCAGTAGCTACTATGAAAATAAATATTTGCCAAGGAGTGGGAACAGCAGCCTTTTGTGGTGCAAAAGGGTGGAGTGAGGGTTATGTCCCTTAGGTACTAAAGGCTGCGTTGCTGCTCCATTGAGGCCTTAATCCATCTTTTCATCCAACCCTTTCTCCCTGGCAGGCTGGGAGAGCGAACGGAAAACACTCGTGTTCTGGTTCTTTGGGCCTTGGGTGCCAGCACCCACGTAGCTCTGTCACTGCTGTCATCGCTTTAGGGCTTTGGCAGCCAGGTGCATCAAGTTGCTGCCCATTTCTTTGTGGGGACAGCTGGGGATTTATCCCGTCGTCCCTTCTGCTTCGCACATGCAGCCCGTAGGATCCGTGCGGGAGGAGGAGGACCACCGCAGGAGCAAGGGCAATCCTGGCCGAAATTTGCAGGAATGGGCAGGGGCTGCTTTTCTTGCATCTTTACGGATATTTTTTGGAGTTCTGTCAGTCCAGCGGCTTGAGAGGGAAAATCTTCTCGTGGCCTCTCTCCAGTACACGCAGACATAGTGGGTGGGAGCTATTTGTGGGGCTCGAATGATTAACGCCGTAGATATAATTATCTATCAGATAAATACTAAGCGCACAGTATGAAAACATTCTGGAGTCTAAATTTAGATTTGCATTTAAGCTGCAGGTGACACTCCAAAGCAAATACAGCATTTGGCAGTGAGGACACGCAGGTGAGGAACGGCTGCCTGGCCCTTTGGTCAGAGCTGCACCAAGAACTCTGATTTTTTGTAATGAGCCAGATGTGCTGGTCCTCAAAAGAAACCACTGCATGGACAAACTTATCCTCATTATTCATAGAGCAATATGTTCCTAGATGATATCAGCTTTATTTAAGAAGTGATGCCTGATGCCTGATGGTTGTGTTTATAGGTCAAAAATGTAAATAATTAATAGTGAAGCAGTACATGCAACTTATCTGAGATTTGTTGGGGGACAACTTGAACTATGTTGCACTATAAAATATATATAAAATATAAAATGCAGGCTAATTCTGCATTTTGTAGGCTCAGACTCACTAAAAGCTACTGCTCATCCTAGGGTGGGATTTATTACTTTGCTCGGTGTGCATTGCATGCTTTACCTGATGACAGTATTTGAAAGCATTGTTAAGAGCACAGTTATTTATATATATAAATAGTATATAGATATGTGCACACACATAAATACTTGCATAATTTTCACATATAAGAAAATCTGGAGAGCCTGTTTTCCAGAGCATGGCTTCAAATGATCCCTTGTGCACAGGGCTCACGTTAGTCCATGTCTGTCAGGTGCAGAGGAAGTATTTGGCTCAGAGATCCTGCTCCGAGCCAAATGGGAGGCCTTTCAGCTCCCCAGACTTATTTAAAAGTGAGGGGCTGGGTTTTGTTCTCCTGTTTTAGTGTCTGAAATAGTCCGCGGGAAGCCTGCCCGGAGCAGCACAAGCCCCGTGCGGCTGCGGCTGCCCGGGGCCCTCCTGCTCCGGGTCTGCTCTGCTGCCGCGGAGGTGCCCAGCGGTTGCTGGCGTTGGCCAAGGTGCAGTGGGTGTTTGCAGAGCAAGAGCCCTTTGAAGGAAAGGGTTCCCAAGCTGACCTTCTGCTTAGCTGTTTCGGCACCAAATGGACATACAGATCTGCAGAGGGCTCTGGACAGGGCGGATCGCTGGGCTGAGGCCAACCTGGGCTGGGGATGGACAAGGCCAAGGGCCGGTCCTGGACTTGGGTCACAACAACCCACGCAGCGCCCCAGGCTTGGGGCAGTGGCTGGGGAGCTGCGCAAAGAGAAGGAGCTGGGGGTGCTGGTCAGCAGCCGGCTGAACTGGAGCCAGCGGTGTGTCCAGGTGGCCAAGAAGGCCAGCGGCCTCCTGGCCCATATCAGGAATAGTGTAGCCAGCAGGAGCAGGGAAGGGATCGTCCCCCTGTGCTCGGCGCTGAGGTGCTGGAGCGTGTCCAAAGCAGCGAAGCTGGTGCAGGGCTGGAGCACAGAGCGTGTGAGGAGCGACTGAGGGAGCCGGGGTTATTTAGTGGGGAGAGGAGGAGGCTCCGGGGAGACCGTGTCGCTCCCTACAACTCCCTGAGAGGAGGTTGCAGTGAGACGGGGGTTGAGCCCTTCTCCAGAATAACTACCCATAGGGCAAGAGGAAACGGCCTCAGGTTGCACCAGGGGAGGTTCAGGTTAGACATTAGGAAGAATTTCTACATGGAAAGAGCGGTGAAACGCTGGAAGCGGCTGCCCAGGGCAGTGGTGGAGGCACCAGCCCTGGCAGTGCTGAAGCACCGCGTGGATGAGGCCGTGCGAGCAGCCAAGGCCAGGGCAGAGGAGTGAAGCTGGGGACACGGGATAGCGGGAGGGGACCCATGGAAGGAGCATCTGACACGGTGCAGATGAGGCGCTTAGGGACGTGGTTTAGCAGCCGTGGAGCTGAAGGGCTCACGATTGGCCTTGATGATCTCGCAGGTCTTTTCCAGCCATCATGATTCTGTGATTCTGCGATATGGATAACTCATGAACGCGCTGCAAAAGTCTAGTTTGTGTTTCCACTTGCTGCACAAATACTGAATACGAAAGCCTGGTTTAGGGCACAACCCTCTTTTGAAGTAAGCAGTGCAGCATAGATGGATGTGTTAGAAATTACAGGATTCTCTCTCACCCTTTGCTTTTAATTTTTCTTTCTTTGTTAAATACAATTTCCTTGTTTTCGTTACTTGCCTCTAACAACATAGGAATGGATACTCAGTGTTGCTCATTTCAGAAGGATCTTCTCATGTCATCGGACTTCTGTAGCTGATGGATACACTCCCATCAAGCCATATAAAAGGATCAAGTGCTCCATTCTGGATCAATTTTGGCCAAGCTGATTCCAACCCTCGTGATGAGGAACTACTTTTCTATCTGTAGATGAACATCTAAGTAAAAGCTGGTCTGTTTGTCTCCTAGTCATGCTTGGGGCAACCGTAGTTGGAAGTATGTATTAAATTGCCAGCTCATCCTTAAATAGCAGCCTGCAGTAAACCAAGTGAAATGCAGAACGTGCTGGAGCCAGGAATTCGAGGAAAGAGGAATTCCACTGAATGGAAGTGCTGTGACATCAAAACCCAGCTAGGTCTTCTTCCAGCAACACCAAAGCCATAGCAAAGACTAGCACAGATTGAGTCATTTTGCAACTCTTGCTCTGCTCCAGGGAGATAAGTGTGGGGCAGAGAAAGCAAAAGAGATCGGCTGATCCGAAGCAAAGCTTGGGCCAGTTCAGAGGTGGTCCATCTGAGTAGCAATTAATTTTGGAAAGCTCTGAAAAAAAATCACATTATTTCACATCTTTGTGACAGTGTGGGAAATTCGGTCGTGGAATTCTCTGCTACTGATAAACTACAAATGAAAGTTGTTCACTTGATTTAATGCTGTTGTTTTTTTCCACCCCCCTCTTCTCTTCCTTCCTTCCCTTCCCTTTGTGTCCCTCTTCTCCCACAGGCCTGTATAGATGAGAACCTGGACATGGTGAAGTTCCTTGTCGAAAATGGAGCCAACGTGAACCAGCAGGACAACGAGGGCTGGACCCCTCTTCATGCCGTGGCATCGTGCGGCTACCTGAACATAGCAGAGTGAGTGAGTTTCAGGCTGTTGTGGGTATTTATAACGTGTTCTGCATCCTTTTCCTTGGAACAGGCACGTAGACCTGTTGCTCTGAGACTTACAGAACACCTTGGAAGCAAAGAAAACAGAGAAACTTGCTTTTCTCCTATGACTGCACCCTTAATTTGTCAAGATAGTAATGGAACTTGGAACCTGTTACCCTTTACTGCTCCCATTACTGTGCTGTGTAGATGTATTGGATGCTTTAGCTAAAAACATGCCAAGCAAAAGGGAGACACGGTGGCTGCAGGGCAGGCACGTAAATGGGCAGAGAAGAGCAGTGAAGGGCAGCTCCACTGCCACAGAGCTGCCTCACTGGGCTCTGACATCAGGGAAACCCGAGTACGATTTTAAACGTTACATAGGAGGGCCTTGGGATTTTACTTCTCTAATAAAAAGTAATTCTGTTTCTGAGTGACACAGAAATGTGTATTAGTGTAATTACATTTATATAGCTGTTCTGGTGTGAAGTGCAAATATTAGATGCATTGCACAGTATAAAATAATTCAGAGATGGATTTACCCTTGTTCAGAAGATGTGCAAAGTGCCTGTCTGTATTTCTTAATGCAGATAGACATATGGGAGCAGAATGTAAATGCTGTTGGGAGTCTTTAAAGGGAAAAGTGTGATGTTCTGGCCTTCAGAGTCACCAATATGCTAACAACATCATTTCTTTTTCTTCAAATTCAGATCCTATGTTTCCACTGCTTGCGTGTTGTCTGACAAAGACGGAGGAGTAGATAAAAGTAACTACTTGTTAATGAACCCAATTAAAATGAAAGCATTATGTTGCTGGGTGGTTGTGTGTTTTATTTACAACACATGTTAGTAGGTTTAGGACGGATATAGGGAGGTGAAATGCTGTGCCTGGCCATAGAGAGACTATATAATCTGGTAAGGACCAGCACTCTAAACAGAGTACATAGAGAGTGAAAAATAGAGTATATGTAAAAGAAGAGACAGCAGATATATCTGGCTGCATTCATTATACTCACACAAGACTCATAATTCTGCTTATCCTGGAGGCACTACTGATACCAGACTTGTTCTTGTGCACCAGCAAGTGCCTCTGATATTTTGAGATTACTCAAATCTATGGCACATTTGCTCACATTGGCACAAAAAGTGGTATTTTCCAGGTTGAATTCTTTTTATGAAGATGCATCACAGGCTAGAAAAATATATGGAAACACTAACAAGATTGTCCTGCACAAAAAGAGATCCAAAGGAAGATCTTCTGCAGCTCAGTTATTTCTGTGTTCTCCTCCTGGGTCAGCTCTTAATCTTGACTTTGGGTGATCCCGTGTCAGTTTATTTTTCCCTAAATGCTAGTTGTTCCGTTAAAATACATTATTCTCATTTAAGAAACTATTGCACTTACATATTTATGCCACCAAAGCAACTAAAAACTTAGCCTCATTTGAATACTAACAATTATTTCTGGAAGGAATTAACCATAAATTCAAAACCAATCCAAACTTTCTTTTTCCTACCTTGCCCTCCTAGATTTGTGTTTAAATAGATAGTTCCTCTTCATCCCAAGGTTGTACCTGTAACAAGATTAACAGGCTGAACAAGAAGTTACTTGCTCTGCAATGAACTTTTGATTAGTTGCAAAGAGACAGGAGGAAAAAAGGCTTGTTTTTCTCTGCATTCATTTCCTGTTTAATAAACAAAAACAAGAATAAGGTATCATCTTAGTACAAGAGCTAGAAGGTTTAACTGGCTCTAGAGAAGCAGAAACTATTAGCATGAGCCACTGAGCAGAAAAGGGAGGACCTTGCAGTTAGCCATGAACAACTTTGGACTAGAAATTTGATAAGTACATTGACCACTCGCTTGGTAATTGAACATGAAGAAGAAAAATAAGTATTTTGTTCTGCCACTTGATTTTCTGTGCAAGTTGCACTGAAGCCTGTGCATAAGGTCTAATGCAATGGTCTCGTTCATGTAGGTACCTGATTAGTCATGGAGCCAACGTGGCTGCTGTGAACAGTGAAGGTGAAGTCCCATCTGACATCGCGGAGGAGGCAGCCATGAAGGACCTGCTGCTGGAACAAGTAAAGAAACAAGGTAAATTGGCAAGGGGGTTGACAACGTGTGTGTTAGGCCCTTATGAGTTTCTATAAGGAAATTCTATAGGCTGTGTGCCTGCCTGTAGGTACCGAGAGCTGAAATCCAGCCCAGGAGTTTTGCTGTGACAGTGGAAGCTCAATGTGCATTTTCCTATAGGGTTCTTAAAAGCCAGATACTACAATATTGAAAATTAATCCAGCTGGTCCATTTAATTTCCGAGTGAGGTTTAATTCTGGTTTGTAGTGTCAATGAGTGTTCTTGTTTCACTAAAAATTGCTCAAATAATTTTGAGGTGAGATCCATATCTCTGTAAGGGTGGGAACCTGGAAATTCATGTATTTGGCCTGGAGTGACCTGTTTTATGCTGATCCTTCCTTAGACCTTTCTCACCAGATGCGCCTTTCTGAAGTGCTGTTGTTTGTGCTGTCCCTGCAAAAACATCACTGCTACAAGTGGTTTGAACAGTGTATCATGTGTCAACATTTAGAAATGCTTTATCAGTGTAAAATTTTTGTGATCATGTGCAGGGGACTAGGTGTCTATGCATTCACACAGGAAGAAAACCTATCCAGAAAGTTCATCAAGAATGTTTTTGAAGGATGCATTTTTCTTTACTTATTGGGAAGTGATGAAACAGTCAAGAGAAAAATGAAGCAGATAAGAAAATTATCCAATTATCCTTATTTTGGATAATGGATTGCACTGTTTTTCAGTTTCTGCCCTAGCTGTGTTTGTGCCCAGCTTATTCTGTTTCCTTCCTCCTTCCGCCAACCCACCTTGAGATAAGCTTAAATAGTTCTTTGCATTTATGTTTACTCTGCTCACATGTTTAAGAGCAGATTTCTGTCTGCAGCAGCCTTTGGGCTGCCCAGGCCACCTCTCCCTCCTCTCGGCAGTCAGACCACTTCAGAGGACCAGGAAGAAAGAGATTGGGATGAACCCATCCATCTTTTAAGTGGGTAATAAGAGCTGTACATGGTAGTAGCATGGCTGAGGCTTTACAAGGCAGTAATTAGGTCTCCATTGCAGATATTTTGCCTGACACTCCTTAGAATTGTGTTCGGCTTTTTCCTGGCTTTGCCACATTAGTGGTATCCTGCTGGGATGCCCTAAAACAACCATCTGTCTCCTCTGAGCAGCTCTGCCCTGGCACGCTTTCAAAGGATCATAATTGCTGGAATAAATGTGTTATAAACTTCCAATAAGTGCCCACCTAGCTCTGTAGCCTGTCTTTAACAGTAGCTAAAAGCAGATGCTTAAACTGTAAGAACAGGGTAAGTTTGTACCATTCCTCTCCTTAACAACTTCCCAACTTCCAACTACCATGTCTTAAAGAATCCCTGGGCCACATGGGCTTTCTATGTGCTTAGGAATCCCCAGCGGATCTCTGTTTGTGAAGCTGCACAGTTCTCCTTGGAAAATATTAGCATGTGTAGCCTTCGGTTCAGTGGGCGCAGATGTGGTGCTACCCCTCTTTGAATTTGTCTAATGTCTTGTTTTGAAGCCATTTGGATTTTAATCTTTGCAGCATCCTGCTGCTGTGGGTTTTGTAATTAAGACCGAGTTGATAAGTGGGGTTTTTTGTTTGTTTTCTGCTCTGTTTTAAACCTAATGCTCAACAATTTAATGGGGAATCATCACCTCCTTATACTGAGAGAACTAATCTCAGTATAGTATATAGTCTAGGAGTAGTTTCGTTTCACACCATTCTTCATTTTTAGACATGTCCATCATATACCTCTTCATATTTTGCTTCCAAGTGGAAGAGCCCTAACAATTCAGTCTGCCATTGTATGGAAGTTGTGCTCCACTACCTCTGGTTGGTATACCAGCCTTATGTGACCTCGTTAACATGAAAAATTATTCAGTTTGTCATATCCACTTATCAAAACAAGACTAAAATAGTTCTGCCTCTTGTTGGTTTAGTGACAGAAGCACCAGGCCAGAACCACCAGGCCTCTCCTGTTAGTAACAGAGTGGGAAACTGGTCCCCCCTGTTACCAGAAAGCCTCAAACATCTGTACGAATGGACTCACTTCACAGAATTCCTAAGGTTGGAAGGGACCTCTCAAGGTCATCTAGTCCAACCCCCTGCATACGCAGGGTCACCTAGAGCACGTGGCACAGGACTGCGTCCAAGCAGGTTTGAAGATCTCCAGAGAAGGAGACTCCACAACCTCTCTGGGCAGCCTGTTCCAGTGCTCTGGCACCCTCACTGTTAGGAAATTTTTCCTTAAGTTCCTGTGGAACTTTTGGAATTTCAGTCTGTGGACTTTTCCTCTAGTCCTATCAGCCTAACTTGTTCTAGAGCAGATCTTCTATGCCACGAGAGAAGATTTTTTTTTGCCATCTATTTCTTTGTGCATTTTGTAAATAGCTCTGGTGCATTACAAATGGATTGCACTGAGTTTCAAGTAAGTACATGTCTGAGGTTGTGTCTTGGAGTTTCCTGAGGGTCTTCTCTCCAAATGTACCTTATAGATTATACTCGCACTATCGTTTAATTAAATTTGCAGTGCTGTTGTTCATGGTTTGATTATTTAAATGGGGAACACTATATGTTTAGAATACAAGCTTTCCACCCAGTATTGGTTCACAGTTTAGCTCCTTGGTGATTGGGCTGGTTTGTTCACCTTTCAGAATTTTATTTCAAGACAACTTTGAATTATCTGTCAGTGATCCATGAGTTCTCTTAACTCCTGTAAAATATTTGTGCTGTTGGTGTTTGCTTTTGGTGGGGGTTACCAAGAGATTCCTAATTCTGTACAGCAAGCAAAATGTTGCATACGTTTAATAAATACATGGCACTTTCACTCAGTAATCCCTCGTCTTACACTTGGCCTTCCTAGGTGCAGACCTAGACCTGGCAAGAAAAGAAGAGGAGCAGCAGATGCTGCAGGATGCCCGACAGTGGCTGAACAGTGGGAGAATCGAGGATGTAAAGCAGCCTCGAACGGGCGCCACGGCCCTTCACGTGGCTGCGGCCAAGGGCTATTCCGAAGTCATGAGGTAGGAACTCCTTTCCGTTGAGTTAAGGTTGCCCTCTCTAGCTTTATAGATGAGAGATGTATTGAGATTTTTACACTTTTTTTTTCCCAAAGGGCACTACAGAATTATTTGCCTTTCATTGATAAAGACCTAGAAGATTGATTTTCGTTTCTCTAGGCCCCTAGAGTGATGCAGGCCTTTCAGAGCCTAAGACATAGGGTAGAAGGTTTGATTTTTCACTCATCAGGTAACAGCACTACCAGTTGGGAATAGCAGGCTAAACAGCACTGGATAAACGTATAATTTCAGCCTATGCATTCCGGGACGATTGCAAGTACCCCAGCACTAAACATGACCAGCTTAGTCTAGTGGAAAAATGCAATGCCCACCCCATGTCTTCACGTATATTTTCCTGGCAGTAAAACATTAATATACTTACAGGTCAGGCCAAATTAAGGTTTCCAACAATAAAGCTTTTTCCTCTGCTTTTTATGTATGGGTGGAACTACCCAGAAATAGCAAGGCTGCTTGGTTGTGTGGGTTAATATGCTCCTGGAGATGCTCATCTATCTCAATGCTTGATGTCCTAACTTTGTGTTGTGACTTGATGCCTCGTAGCTGCTGCTTCTCAAGCTCTGGTAGGTTTGTTGTCCTCTGTGATCCCTATTCCTTAGAGCTTATTACTGAGTTATAAGCTGTCTGAGGAAGGAATGCCCAAGAACACTAGTTTAACACTGCTCCTGTCAAATAGAAATGCAGCATCTCCTGAAATCAGGGTGTGGGTCCAGTGGAGAGTTGTTGTTTCCAGCACTGAATGGGAACTGCAGTCACCATTTGCAAGCAGATTAGTCCTGGACAGCCACCCCTTGCAGCAGAAGTTATAATGAGAGCTCTCAGCTCGCTGAGAACTAATATTGTTTCACTCCTGCATGTTTTATGGCCACCCTCTAAGTTCAAGTATGGAACTTCAATGACTTCAGCCCCAAAGGGCTGAAAGCCAGGGGCTTGCGAACGCTCCGGTGAGATGTGGAATTTGTCTGTGACCTTGAGTCTCTTAACAGCGATGTTCCTCCCTCTTGCCAGCTGGAAAATCAACATAAAGCCAGGAGCTGAGTTAGACTTTCTTTCACGGAGAAACACTCTGCTATGTGAGGACTGGGTTTGATAACACGTCGGTGTAAAGCTGCAGTTGTTTCAAACTGTTAATGCCCTTCTGGGGTCATGCTGGGTTTCCCCTGTGCCGAAGGGGGACTACTCAGGACTTTAACCAGATCATTTGTGTACAACTGCAAATACACTTGGGACGCTTCAGACAGCAGTTGTTTCTCTTCTGCTTACTTTTATTTTTACATCTTGGAGCCTCAGGTGTGAGGAAACGCCGGTGCTTTGGAAGGTTTGCAGGGCACTGTGGCATGAGGATAGCTCCATTCCGCTGCGACTTGCTTTAACTGTGCAAGGCAGTAGCACAGGCAGGCAGGAAGCAGAGATGTCGTCTCCTTACAGACAGTTCCTACAGTGCAGCCTTTTTTTTGCCGCTAGAACCAACACCAGACTCCAGTGACTAAATGCCCTTTCAATGCCAGGTGCTTGGCTGCTTGTTACTGCAGCCACTGCAGTCTGCAGAGATGCTGCTTATCCACTCGGTGCCTGGCAGACTGTGGTGTCTCGTGGCCATCAATGCAAGAGTTCAGGCTGGGTCACTAATGCCTGCTTAGGAATGAAGGGGTTTTCCCAATTTCAGACGTGCTGAAAGGAAATCTTACAAATTAGACACTTACCAACAGCTTTTCCAGTGCCAGAATTCGCTTGTCCTTTCATTTAACTCCCCCTTTTCTGAGTGACCACGTCAAGTGCATATTGCTTAGGTGAACACCACGGTGGGAAGCTCCTGGCTTATTTTATACCGCGCCACCTACTCCAGCACTCATGGCATGAATTCTTCCATGCAGAGTCATTCTCCTAAGAGCAGAAATCAATACTGCTTTTTTCCTCAGGCTTTTGATCCAGGCTGGCTTTAATTTGAACGTCCAGGACAACGACGGCTGGACCCCCCTGCACGCTGCCGCGCACTGGGGGGTGAAGGAAGCTTGCTCCATCTTGGCGGAGGCCTTGTGCGATATGGACATCAGAAACAAGCTGGTTAGTGAGCACACGTTGGCGTGTTTTATGCAATATATTTTTATAACAAGGCACATATTTTATTGCCTCTCTCTGGATCCAGCAGCGTGGCAAGGTTAGTTGGTGAGCAATTCTCATATATGGCGTGTGGAGTAGAGTGTTTAAAAGCACCAGAAAACAAAGGATTTTTGCTGGAGAAAGACAGAAAATTTTTTTTTAAGTAATTCTAAAAAAAATCACTGATGGATATTGAAGACCAAGATTGTAAGAAGGGATAGATAATAGTTTATGTTTTCCTTCCTTACCGCAGTCCTGATAAATTAAGCAAAAGTCAGCTGTGGAGTGCATAATGGTATGCACTAATTTAAAGTATGAATTATTGAAAACCAGTGAACGCATGAGTAACTGATAACTTTAAATCCATCCTGTTTTACTGTCTCTTCTACTAAACAGAGAAGATCGGAAAAAAAAATTACTTGGGTTTTTGAGAAATGAATAGGAAGGATAATAACAAAATGGCCTCCATGTGAAAACATGAGGGTGTTTACTTGAAGAATTGGTTTTCCAAGAGTTAAAGTGGACTTGGTTTTGCTTGGAGCAGCATCAGGAAATGAAAATAGACAAGGGGATTTAACAGGGACATGTGGCACTGTGTGCTGCGAGTGCGTGTCTGTCCTGGAAACTCGTGTAAAAGAAACAGCTCTCTGAGAAGGATCGTTTTAGCAGGGTGAACTCTCTGGCCTCCAAAATACGGGGGATTTGTCGTGTTCAGTGTGTTGTCGTGACAGACCCGCAAAGAAGCGAACACGGCTCCAGCCTCTGGGTATGGAGGATGAGGAATACGTTGTTTGTTCTTCACGGGTAAAGAATGCTTTTGTGCCCATTGATGCCATCTTGGCATTACTAGCGTCTTGGCACGTCACCTTGGATTGCATCTTCTGTTTTCTTACTGCATGTGTCACCAGGGCCAGACGCCGTTCGACGTGGCTGATGAGGGACTGGTTGAGCATTTAGAAATGCTGCAGAAGAAACAGACTGTGGTGAGTTTGTGCGTGCTCAATCCGCGCCTCTCCAAGTACCCTTTCATGCCTGGGTGTTCTCTAAAACTTACAATCTCAACGCAAGCATGACGCCGAGACCTCAGTATTTTTTTTACATTAGTCATTAGGATATCTTTAATTATGCCAGCATTTTTAATACCTAGAAATCCAGAAAACTGCATGACAGTCAGGAAAGTAAGTAGATTATTGGCATGCAGAATTCTGTACGCTCTTTAGGTATGTGCAGTTCATCTTCAGAACTGCAATTGTTCTTTAGTTGCTTTTGAAGCTGAGGAGCTTGCAAGCTGACAAATGGCTCTTTGCTTAATGAACAATTGCCCTCATCAACTTTGTGTTGGTATTTAAGAAGCATGGAGTCAGTGTGGAGAAAGGGGGTGTCTCCCTTAGAGTTGTGAGACCTTTGATTTATTTGAGAGGAAACTTTGTGGAGTTGCAGACTGAAAAATTCAGTGGTTTCAAAAACCATGTTAAACTATCATAACACCAAGGAGATATTGGAAAGGGTTATAAGTAGAAAGCTAGTATAAAAGAAGGAGGGCAAAGAATATCTTGATCAAAGTAAAGCCAGCAAAGTAAAGCCACACTGGGCTTTGGGATTGCTTTCTTTTTCGTCTGCTCTACTCAGTTCATTTGGGTGTTTCCAAGAAACAAACCTTTTTTAGAGGAACAAAACCACCACCACCAACAAAACCAAATCACAAGGTATCATTTAAAATGTTGGTTTTGGAAACATGCTTAATGAGAACGTCGCTGATAAAACCAAGTCAAGTATTTTGAGGAACTGACAATGTGGGTGGAGAACTTGAGCTCTGATCATAACACAGCTGCTGTCATCCTTAAATAGCAGCCCTAACATTCACAGAATCTTTTTAAAAATTAATAAGCTTCTCCCTAAACGAGGTGTTGATAAATACTCTGCGTTGCATTTTGTATTTCCTCCTATTACATTACCCCAGGAGTCTGCAGATAACTGCAGCCCTCAGGAGAAAAGGAAAAGCAAAACAACCACCAGAGTGTTCTTAGGTACCTGCTAGCCCCTTTCTGGCCCTGCTTAGCAGGGACAAGCAGCCCTCATTCTCTGTGTAGCAGTGCTCTATAAAGCCCTCCCCAGTTTATTAAGTGATTATAGCAAGCTGTATTAGAATGGGGAAGAAAAGAAGAGTCTAGACTTGTCACATGTTTTTTTCAATGACTCTCATTTTTTCTTTTGACAGAAATGTCATTTTATCATGTGTTTGTCATTTAAAGTTTTTTTTTTAAAAAAAAGGCAGTTTTTAAGGATGAAGCATCCGCCCGGATGCCACCCTGTGCCATGTGCTCTGGGTGCTGGAGCAGGGGTTGGACTAGGTGATCTCTGGAGGTCCCTGCCAACCTCAGCCATTCTGGGATTCTCTGAATGAGGATTTTTCTTTGCTGGAGATTTTTCATTTGAATTTGTCTTGGAATTAGTTTTGCTTTTGGAATTTGTTTTCTGAGTTCCCTGGGAAGCTGTTTCTTGCCTTTCCCTTTGTTATGCTCTTTTAATAATTTCATTTAATAAATTACCCTAAAATTTTGGTCCTTCACTGCAGTGCATGGGTTCAGAACTGGACCCAGTGCATTCAGAAACTGGAGAGCTTTTGTTTCTTGTGCCATAAGTCAGCTCCTCCTATCCAAAGAGGAAAACTATCTACAGTAGACACGATGCAAAAAAAGAGGCTTGAAAGTGAGCCGCTAATTGCAATTCTTTTTTTTCTTTTTTTTTAAACTCAACTGTGTCTGTGCTAAATGCTTCCAAAATAACCTTGCACATACAGTTTTATCCGTCATTGCTGATAAAATTCACATTTGCTGCTCCTTGAGCAAGATGCGTCGTTGCTGTGGTGATCACGGATATTCTTGTGCAATGGCTTGTGCCAGAACTGGAGGGATTTAAGGAGTGACTCAGCCTCACGGGAGATCCATCCATTGCCTGTGCAGGGCAGACTTAAACACGGTCCTCCAAGAGCAGGTAAATATTAGCTACAGAGGCAGCAGATCTTGAACTGAAGCTGCGCTGATTCCTAAGGACACGCTCAGTGTGTCCTGAAGGAGCTTCTGTCCAAGATACCCAGCACTCTTACAGACACATTATTCATGGAATTGGCTTGTTAAGCCACATCTGCATTTATGTTAGGGGCAGGTATTTTTCATCCAACAAGTCTGCCTTGACCTTCTGCTTTGATAATTTTCAGATTGGGCTGAGGTGGCTTGTTAAAATGTGTGTTTTGACTCTTTTTCCATTTTCTTGGGCTTTTTGACAGCTGCGAAGTGAGAAGGAGACGAGGAATAAACTAATAGAAGCGGACATGAACGGCAAGCCTCAAAGCAGGCTCTTCACAAAGTAGGTTTCCTTCCTTTTCATTGGCAGAGCTGAGGGCAGCATCATCTGCTAGTGGCCAGTTTGCTTCAACTGGTTTAAAAATATGTTGCTGTTCACGTCCATTTTAATATTTCTTTCAAATTCTTGAATAAGGCTGTGGGTGCTGGGTTGCTTGGTGGTGCCAGTTCCCTGGGCTCTACTATTTCTGAGTATCATTTTGACCTTTGGGCTGAGAAGAGCTTGACTGCAGCTGTACAGAACCGTGCAGCCCAGCTGATGTTTGCATTGCCCTCGGCGGAGACACCTCATTCCTTGGCTGAACAAATGCCTGCAGACTTAGGAAATGTGAGGCTGGCATTGGAATCCACAACAAATGGGCAATGGGCATGTGAGGAGGTGGAGTCTGTAGATGGGTTTTGTCCTTTTTCTTGTTCTATACGTAGCAAATCATGTATGTGTCTTGAAAAAGTAGAATTCAAAAATATCTCGCTTACTTGGCAGTCATTAGAAATTCCTATTTTTTTCAGCAAAGAGAAGATTCTTTATGAGGAAGATAAGCTGAAATCCATGGAAATGGAGGAAGAGAACAAGGACTCTAGCAGTTCCAGTTCTGAAGAAGAGGAAGAGGAAGCTGAAGAAGACGAAGTTTCAGAATCAGATGCTGAAAAGGAGTCAGGTAAAACATAGTCTCAGATTTAATCATTAGCAGAGCAGTAACTGCATTTTTTGTTTAATTGTTAAAGACACCCTGAAATCTTTCTTTCAGTGTATTGAGTATAGAGAAATTTATAGCTCATGTATTAGAAAAAAAATAAATGTCAAAGCTGTGGCTTTCCCCCGAAATTATTTATTAGAAATATTTTCCTTAAAATATGAAAAACTCCCCCTCTTTCACTTTCAGAATGACTGACATTCTGAGGCAATGAAGAAATTTCTTGTGCTTTTAAACAGTGCCTGTAGCACCATTTGACATCATGAAAACACCTCCCTTTTGATTTCCTCAGTGTTCCAACCCAGTGCTGTTCTTTCCTAAAAGGAATGTATTTCCTTTCTCTTTGCTGACTCCCCCATCAGCAGAAAAGAGCTTTGGATAGAATTTTAGCTTCTACTTCCAACTCACTTGGATTTAAGCTAATAGAGCATTGCATAAGTTTCTCTTAAACAGATTTCTTTCTATTTTACTTGGCTGAATTGGGGTGAACGCTTCAGATACCACAAGACTGTAGAAAAGAACACGTGGCAGAGTAGCAATCTGCTGTGTTTGGATCACAACACTGAAATGAGGTGCGAAACTGTTCTGTGCAGTTATTGAGACAAGGAACTCCTTTTTTGTTTTGTTTTCTTTTTTCCTGATCGTAACATATAATAATTACAGAGCAAAGTGGAAAAATAAAGGTTAAGTGCATGAAGTGATGTTAGGCTTTATGCTATAGCGTGTAGCCGGCATCCTGTTCCTTTCAATCCCATTCCTTTTCCATAATCTCCAAAGCTACTTTAATTAGTTTAAGCAGCATATATGTGCAGCATGGATAGTTTATAAGAAGAACCTTAGTTTTGCAATAAGCCAATACCTGTGCTTAGTATTTCTATAAGGAGAGAGAGATCTTAGGCTATGATGTGTTTGATGATTAAACTGCTTTTAACATCAGCTTCTTTGGCCTAGATCTCAGTATTCTAATAAATAAATCCTTGCAAGCACGGTATAATTTAAAGTTTGTCCTCCTGGTGGTATCAGTAAAATTGTTCTCTATTCGGTTGCGTGAATAACAATGTTTATCACAGTTCGAGGGGTGTGGAGAATCCTGGCAGATCTTTGCAGAGCTGGTAGTTACAAAAGCTATTTGGATGCAACATTAACAAGATGAAAAGTCTTTTGGCTTGTAAATCAAGGAAATGTAGTGGGGAAGGCAGTGGCAGAAGCAGTCATGAAGTAGAAGTCACATTTATTTGCTCCATAAATCAGTGTTTTACTAGACAGTTGCCCTGTGTAGTGATGTCCTGCTTCTTGTAAACATGGCAAGGACTTGGCCAAAACACCTCTGAAGTGGATAAAGCTGGAAGAAACGGACCTCCATGTGTTTAACTGTTTCAAAAACAGCACGTGATCCTTTAGCAAGAAAAGCACTACAGCATGAAATTTTATATGAAGCCCAAGCTGATGTTTTTATTGAATTAATTCACTAAGCAAAACACATTGCAGTCAAAGTACTGAGGCCAAATCAGTCTGAAGACAGAAAGTTTAAGGATCAGGCTTCAGTCCTTATCATCTGTGCTGTTCTTTCTCAGAGAGATTATCAGCCCCTTGGAGAAATTTCAGTTGGAATTGAAGCTTACACCATGCACTCCTCAAACTTCTAAGAAAATGAACATGAATTTGTCCAAGGGGCTGTGGATGCAGCTGTCATCACATATATAAATGAAGTACACACTTGCAATCAATTAAGAATTAGAGAAGAAAAAAAGACAAAATATTGTTATATTTCAAGCTGGTAGTGTAATGCAGGAGTTTATTCTGAAATATGTCTTTGTAGAGTCGCAGATTGCGTTAGATTTGTGGGATTTGCAGGCAAGGGAGGAGGTTATGAAATCTGAGGGGTGAAATTGCTGCAGCGCCTCAGACTATCGTGGTCTTCTCTGCAGTCTGTAGATTTTCAGGCAAAAGCAGCAAAGCGCTTTAATGCCATGGCCCTGACCTTGAGAATAATCAAAAGTTTTGCATTGGGCTATGCATAACCAAGAGGAAGATGTGTATAAAGGTCTGTGGTCATTAGCTTGGGCAAGGACAACCTTGCTCTGGAGGGTACCTATTGCAGTAGTTGATCACTGCAAATTAAAGCAGGCCTGGGCAACTCAAAATGCTTCAAAAAACCCTCAAGAAAAATGGCATCTCAGATTGCAAGTTCCTGCCATGTTTTGGAAGGCCTTAGTATACTAAAAGCGAGAAATAAATTTGCAATCTCACCAAACTCAGTGTGGGGAGATTGAGCTAATCCTGCCGTTTCCCTTTGATTGGAATTCCTACTTATCACTCACATTTTAGTGATTACACTGAAGACAAAGATGCCTGTGATCCTCCGTTCCCTCTTCTGCCTGCAGTTGACTCCTTCCAGTCACGTTGCTCACAGTTATAGCTGTTTCCTAACCTGTCATTAGCACTTGGGCTTTTGCCCATGTAATTAAGGTTCGCCTTAAAACCTGCTCTCTGCAATATAAACTTCCAGAATGGGTCACCAGTCCCCGTCCAGTCCAGCCCATCAGCTCTGCTGTCAGGTCATCAAATCACAGAACAGTTGAGGTTGGAAGGAACCTCTGGAGATCGCCTAGTCCAACCCCCCTGCTCAAGAAGGGTCACCCAGAGCCACGTTGCACAGGATAGATCAGATCCATTTGCTTTATACTTCTCTCCTTCCTGCAGTTCGTTATTTGCCCCATGTTTTACAGACTCCAGTCCCCAGAAATGAGCAAGTGGCCAGCGTGTCGCGTTTTTTGTAAGTTGAGCCAGGCCTGCAGGGAGAAACAAATCGACTGCTGCTTGCTAAAAATGTGCAGTGTTCAGAAGGGTAGGCTGGAGAAATGAAAAATCCGGGATGCAGGCGACTTCCAGCAGGTCTGGGATGATGCAACGAGAGGGAAGGGGCCCGAGCCAGGTGGAGGTGAGGTCAACCTCAGCATCCGAGGGGATGGGCACGTTGCCTCCCTAATCCTAGCCCTGTCCCTCTGCTGACTGCCTGCTATTTTTAAATGTTTCATGGCTAGCTCTTCTTTTTTTGTCCTGTGAATCCTATTTTATAGGGGAGAGAAGGTTTGTTTCAGAAAGACTGAGCTCCATGCTCTGAGACACCATCCTCACAGATGTTCCCTACCAAACTTGTTTTTTATGTATAACAACTGAATGTTTTGCTGGTTTAGGGCATCGTTTCCCAGGCATGTTGCACATGACCGTGTTTTGTAAGCAGCCTGTATCAAAGCCCTCTGCACTTCTGTCATTTGAACAGAATTTGCTTGTTGAATTTTGTATTTGAGCAGATTGCCTGAAGCAAAATCTTTGGTGTCTCTGTGCCACAGTAAAGCCTGGCGAATGTTCTCGTGTCAGCCTTGGTGCATAGCTACAAAGAAACCTTAATTCTGGCCCCCTATAGTTGTCTAATGAGCAGTGAGTCAGTTGTGGGCTTTGGTAGAGTTCAGTTTGCTTATTTTGAGTCTTGCTAAGGATTTCTCTGGGGAATCAGTCCCAGCTTCATGTAGAGAAGAGGATATCCCTGGGGAGGACCTGATGCCTACGAACAGAAGCGGCTGCAGTAGAGCCATGTAACGAAATCCACCACCAGGCTCGCTCAGGAGATGCTTTAATGCATACTCATATGCTGTAATAGTATTGACATGCTTTGCCTTTTTTTTTTCTGAGTTTTGTAAGGGAAAAGCAATCACTGAAAAGGAAATAAACAGGACAACAGGGTTGTTCACAATTTTAAGATGTTTGCTGCAAAACTTTCGCTTCTTTGTGGAGGTGAAGTTCAAAGGTTTGTTTCTGCTTTGCTCGACAAACCTGTCTGTCCTGTGACTGAGGAAATAATAAGGCAATAGAAAAATCCCTTGCTGGAAAGGAAAAGGCTGCTTAGCTGTGGTGCTGAAATTGTCTTTAGGATCTAAAGCATTTTGAGGTCACAGTAACTCTGAATTTGAGGGTAGTACACCTTGTGCTTCTAAAGAAGAGCCTTGGAAATGCAATACTGAAAGATTTGGTTTCTTTTCTTGTTTAAAATTGTAGTGAGGAAGGAAGAGTCCTTTGCCAACCACTCCAGCCATGAAACCAGGCCTACCATCACTGAACAAATACCACCGCCGGAGCCCAACTCCTTCACTGCATCTGCCAGAAGAGTAAGTGAATTTGGAGTCCATGGGGACTCCAACAGTGCTCGAAAGCAGTAGGTTTCACAGGGAAATGCACATTCTGATTTGAAGAGAAGCTCTAAGACTTGGGGAAGCACTTGGTGTGAGTGTGTAAATCCCTCAGCTTAGTTTTCTCTATGCTAAACAAGCCAAATTTCTTCCATCTCTCCCCTTTCATGTTTTGTACTCTGGCTCCCTGACTGTCCTAGTGGCCTCTGCTGGACTCTCTCCAGGCTGACAGTCAGTGCAAAGCTTTGGTTTGCAGCTAGTCCTCAAAGAATTGATTACTTTTTTTTCTTTCTTTTTGCCTTTATTGAATAATTCCCCCTTCCTAAACCAGTGCTAAGAAAAGCTCCATTGTTCTTTACATTCTCACTGCAGAGCAGCAAGAGGACATTACGTGGGTGAGGGGAGCTGCACAGTGACACAAGATTTCTTTCATTAAATGTTCTTGGGGCTGAGGGCACTCCAGCAGCTTGCCTCCCTGTGAGCTCATCTCAAGCTATGTCATGTAATTAAACCCAAGCAGGAAATCAAGTTGACTCAAAGTGAAATCAGTGTTGTGCTTTCAAGTGTAGCCCAGCAAAAGCTGGGGCTTGTTAATACTCTTTCACTGAGCTTTGCAGTGCCCTTATTTCTTCCAAATATCCCCCTCTCTCCTCTACAGTTCAGTTGGCTCAACAAGTCAGAAGAGCAGAAGGATGAGTCACCTTCCTCCTGGCGGTTGGGTCTGCGGAAGACGGGCAGCCACAACATGTTGAGTGAAGTTGCTGCTACACGTGAGGCCCAGAGAGATAAGAGTTCTTCTATCTATCGTTCTTCATCCAGTCCTCGGATATCTGCATTATTAGACAACAAAGAAAAGGTTTGGCTTCTAGCAAAGACGTTTTGGTGCATGCCACTCGTGCAATGCTTGCCTCAGAAGTTTCAGACTTTCCCTTCGAGTTTGTTATTGCCTTTTTGCACTAGTTCTAGCACTGCTGCCCATTTATAAATCGTCCTTGAAAAGCCCTTTTTAGAAGCCAATTTTATTTACTAACATGCTGCTCAGAAAACCTGTCTCAAAATGGATGTTTCAAAAACTCACGCTGTCAGACTTCTCCAAAAAATGCCTTAAACCAGTTGTTGGTTGAGAGGAAAATGCTATCTTAACTGAAGAAAGTGGAACAAAAATTTTCTTGTTATTGAGTGCACTGGAAATATGACAGCTTTGCAGTTGAAATATTTCTTTTGCTTCATCAGGATAAAGACAACAAGAGCTATCTTGCCACGATAGCCCCCAGAAGACTAAGTAGTACAAGCGATATAGAGGAAAAAGAGAACAGGTAAGACTGACTGAACTCGGCTTCTAGCCTGTAGACTGTTTCTCCAGAATAACTTTTTTCCTGATCATGGTTCATATCTTTTTCCAGCAGTCCTAAACGCACAGGTATTCACAATGTTTGAAACTGTCTCTGAGCTATAGAATGTTCTATTAAGTGGCCTACATTTAGATGAGCAGAACAGCAGGCTGGCTTCTCCACCTCTATATCCCAAAGATACTATGTCCATCCAGTAATCTAGGTTTATGCCTGTTCTTTCCTTTTATATGTAAATTCCTGATTTCTTTAGGTGGCATCTGCACTTGCACCTCTGTAATATGCTTAATATTTACCTTCAGTCTATTTGTTCACACATATTACACTTTTTGATTCATGTGAGCTTGTGAACTGTCTTGTATATGGAACTGCTTTGATTACAGGGGCTATTTTTACAGTGATTCCATATGGTTGCCCTTGGGCAGAACCAAAATACAAATGGGATAGAGGTTTCACGTATCTCAGGACATGGTAGAGAAGCTAATCCCTCCAAATAGATTCTTCGCAGTTTGTGCAAGAGGGAGGAAGACTCAGGCTTAGTCTCGTTTCCAACCACTCCTACAGAAGTATTAGAAAAGCGTGCACAGAAATGTCATTTTGAACTGTAATTGTTGTGAAAAAGTCATAGGAGGAGATGGCCCTGAGAGAGAATTTTACCACAGTTTGAGATTCTTCACTGATCCTTTGGTGGAACCTCCCTGCTGTTTTCTTGCTTAATCTCAGCCAGACACTGTGATTTGGAATTTAGCAGACCATTTGTGTTTGAATGGCTGATAAGCCCGAGTAGTTTTGGCAGTAGCACGGATTGAGTGGCACATCCAAGTGACTGCTGATAAGTGTCCTTTGCTCTGTAAAATAGAGAATGAGGAGGACTGGACTGCATGGACAGATGGTGGCCAGACATCCCCTGCAGTACAATTTTTTCCCCAAATTTCTTTCCTTACAAAACAGCATGATTACCACTTCATGGAGCCTCCAGGTGTTTGAAAGGGCATCAGAATCAATAGTGCAGTTGAAAAATGAAAAATAATTACAAGCTAACAACCATTCCGTGATTCTGTGACATGGGCTAGTGTTGCATACACTCTAGGCTGGCACTGTGTCACATCCTTGGCTAGAGAAGTCATTTTGCCAATGTAGGAGCTGGGAGAGTGAGCCCTAATTTCAGATAACTATGATAAGTACTACTACTAATAATTTATCTGTAAATTGTCAAACAGTTTTAAATACTGTCAGATATTTTACGTGTTTTCTTCTTCTGAACATTGCAAAGGATATGCTGTAACTGAGTCACTTTTACTTCTGTTGTTTGGATAGCTTGGAGAGTAAAAACTCCTTACAGCTGCAATAATTGCCTGCAATGTTGTGTGATGCAAGGTGGCAGACAGAATGTCAGATTGCATTATTTAATATATTAAAGTATTGTTATGGGCAAACTAAACTTATATTCAAAGTTTTAAAAAAGGTCTTGCTCCTCCTCAGGCAGGACATTGCATCTTCTTACACCTCTTAACTGTACAGCTAGTAATCATAGGAACAAATATTAAGGCCTGTACACAATAGTACTCCTAATTGGAGGAGAAGGCTCTCTTTTGTAAATAGAGAGAGACACTGTAGAGAAGCTAAAATCAGGCTGAAAGTTTTTCTAAACCAACCTTTGCTCTGTACTGCTTTAGAGAATCAGCTGTTAACCTGGTGCGAAGCGGCTCCTACACCCGGCAGCCCTGGAGGGAGGAATCGAAGGGAAATGAAGCCCCCAATTCTAGTGCACCAGCCACCTATGTGTCTACCTACTTGAAAAGGTATGGCCAACTCTGTTTTGTATGGATACCTAAGCAACCAGATCTGCTCTTCACCTGCCTTGCAAGCTTCATCCCTCTGCTTTCTGTATTCTGCATCAGTGTAATTGGCCTTGGGACCCTCTGCTGGGAGCAGGAAAAAAAAATAGGTTTGCCTATGTTTGTCATGCTAAATAGTCCTTTTAAAGACCATCATTTTTGTTGACCTGTAAATTATAATACTGCATTTAAAAACTCTTGTTCTTATAATTCATATAATTCAAATACAAAATCTTTTTGTCTCAATTTTACATTAGTATTGTAGTTAGATAATAAAAGTTAGATAATAAAATTGATCATATATGGAGATTAAACCAGTTATACTGTGAAACCATTGTTCAGAAAACTATGAAGAGGTGAGTTACAGCTTCTCGCTAACTTTGGTTTGTATTAGTGCATGTTTATGGATTCAAAATTATTGTGAAAAAATAGTAGAATAGTAGTAGAGTTCATGTGTATTAGTGATGACATTTGTTAATGACTCATGTCTCCAACCAAATTCTTATGGGAGTAAAAGAATAACAGTTTTCTTCATAGTGTGTTTGAAACTGTAGAGGGGATTTCTGATTGCTGGTAGACTAGCCAAGAATCAGGAAAGGAATCCTGTGCATAACCTTTTAATTGGAAGAATCTTTTCCCTGTTTGGAAGGCAGAGGCTTGGTTTCCTTGAAGCCCCAGCTAATGGCCACCTCTGAATGACATGAAAATAAGATGAACAAGTGGCCTGCAGCTGGAATAAGGCAAATTATATGTCACTGGGTTTTCATCTCTGGTGTGAGAAGGACAACCACTCCCATGCACAAGCACTGCACCGTCACCTCATCTTTAATTAGGGGGTACCAAGAACCATCACAACATCGTGTATAAACATGTCATGCTGCAAAGCCATTTGGTCTGTGCTTAATGAAAAGGCCAGAAGTTCTTTTAATGTTTTAGATGGTGATTCACCAAATTCTAGATCCTGAACTGTGTAACTGTCCAGTAGACAAAACAATTAAGTTATTCAGGAGGGGACACGTATTTGGTTATATTGGTAGTGCTGAGCATATGCAGACAGGTTTCCACAAAGGGTGAAACATATCTGCTTTGAGCACTAGATCCATTCCAGTGACTTCACATCTATCATTCTGCTGATCCATTCCAGTGACTTCACATCTATCCTGGGACCTGATGACAGGCCAACCTCCGTAGCTTGCCTCTCCAAAGGCAGTCGAACAAGCAGCAGCTGATTGCATTGGAAAACTTTCCCTTCTTGCAGCTGGCCTGCCTTGTTGCTGCCTGTTCTGAAAGACAGTCCAGTCACGAACATCACTAACTGTAGAAATTTTACAAAATTTCACAGTTTATTTCAACTAATTAAGAGCCAGATTTAGTATTATGATCCACAAAGTTGTACTGTATTTCCTTGGTACTGGGAGTAGTTAAGGTTTTGAGCAGCACTAACTGATTTCTTGTCACAAAGGCAGAATTTGGGCCTTTTGTGGGGCTGTGTTGGATTGTGAGCCATTACAGAGAATAGCTTTGTATGGTAGGAATCAAAAGTAGGGTGTGTTTTAAGATCTGAGGAGTTTTTGCATTTTATGGACAAACAGTAAAATCGTAATATGCCCGTTATTCTGTAATTGTTTGCTATAGAAGATCACAGAGGAGTTAAACATAATCATATAGAACCTCTGTTTTTTTTTCCCCAGCCTTGGGTGTCGGTCTCTAAGATGAGAAAAGGACCAGGCTGCCCTTCATATAGAACCTCTGCTTTTTTTTTCCCCCAGCCTTGGGTGTCAGTCTCTAAGATGAGAAAAGGACCAGGCTGCCCTTTAAGAATCAGCTTTTTGTCACTTCCATGTATTAATAAAACTCTAAATGCAATTCAAAAAGCTAAAATCTCATCCCGAGAGAGGAGGAATTAAGGTGAATGTAACATACTTGAATGCTACTGACAGGACTTTTCCTGCACATCTGCATTCCCTTTTACTTTAGCATTTAGCTATTCTCCATAAAGGCATCTGGTTAAATGCTGGAAGTGCTTCCTTATGATCCCCAGATAAAGAGTGAGCAATGACCAACAGGTTTTATTATAAGATATAAAAAATGGCTCTTTTACTGTAAAGGGCGCAAAGTGGCTTGCAGTAACACTGCAAGTGTTTGTCAGGGTTAGCTGAAGCACATGTTAACCCTCTCTGCTGATATTGGCTG